CAGTAGAAGGGGACCTGGTGGACCCCACCACCAGTAGAAGGGGACCTGTACAGGTACAAGTTCAGTTGACAAGTTACTTCACAATGATCTCCGTCCTTCCTTCTGATTCTCATTTGACTAAAATTATCACAGCTCTCGTAGTTTCTCCAGCTCCTTCATTCCTCTGCACTCCTCTTCTTTCTTCCACTTTCATATTTATTCAAATTCTTTCTTGTTATACATTTTCTAAATATTTATAAACATCTCTTATGCTTCTACGAGGGTGTTCAGATGGGGCGGTTACTAGTAAATACCAACTGAATTTATCGAGAATATCCTTCCCCCCCCCCCTTCCCACCTCGACTTACTGCCCCCCCCCCCCAGGATGCAACTGTGGGAAAAACCTGCTAGGATTGATATAAGAGGAGACTACCAGGGACTTGTACTGAACTACATTAAAAAATTACTGTCTGCAAATTAATTCAACTAAAATCTCTAGCTAGGGTTGTAAATCCTAGCTCCTCTTTTTTTAATGACAGATTGTGGGCTGTAAGGGACAGTTGGGGTGAATGAATTAGTTGATAGAAGTTCCAGTCCACCTGTAGACAGGGATTCTCACATCAGCTTGTATTTTATACAAGGATAAGATTTAATATTTCTGCCCGAAATATTAGATTTAGATTTCTGATATATTAGATTAGATTTCTGCCCGAAACGCTTTGCGTAATAGTGGCTTTAGGCATTGTATGTACTAGCTCTATCTATAAAGCCAACAAACTTTGTAAAATCTCTTTATGTATGTACCTTTGCCTAAATAAAAATTATTATTATTATTATAATAAATTCAGTTCTATGCTGAACACTGGCTCTGTTTAAATCAGGGATTTAAACATATATAGTCTAGCCTAGCACCATAACTATTAACAGCCAATATGTTCTTATACTATAAACAACAATTTTAAATTGTAAAAGTATAATAAATGACTTTAAATGTAGTCTAAGTACTGTTAACTAAGTACAAGAAATTATATTCAATTAAATGAACTTATTTGATAACTTATAAAATAACTAAGCCAGCAATTGTTAACTTAATTTATATATTCAAGTATATATATGCAATGTATTTATATTCAATTTATATGACTAGGTACAGTCAGCTTGACTGAATCTCTTCCAACACCATGGACACTTATGAGGTCTTATTTACTTATTGCGGCTGAATCTTTTCTCACATAATGGACACTCATGAGGTCTAGTGCTTGGATAAAAATTCTACTGCTGCCCTACTATATAAATAAACTTACTGAGATATGAGGCGTTGCCTCGCTTTATAACCGACAGACAGACTTATAGAATATTAAAGTCACACAAGCATACAATTGGCCAACTATATACCAAAATAACCTCAATATACTTCTCTGCTTGCCGGGTGCCTGTCTGACAAGTGTGCCAGACTTGATAACTCTCTTGTCACGAGTTTAGGCACGATATTTATATCACAGCATTGCTGTATGATGTACTAGTAGCGTTGCTACCTGATTTTTCTTTAACTGCGTTGCAAAAGATGAGGGTTGATGGTGAAGGTGGAGCCAAGTCACTGTGTGCTCCACTCTACACTTATAGATATAAATGTTCTAGGGATTTTACTTGTCCAGGTACTCCCCCAGTTCTAGAGAGTATTCACTGGTGATAAAGTTATTAGATAAGGTGTCCTGAGCCAAATAATGTTCGCTAAGGATCCGTCACTGTTCACTGTTTTGTCAACAAACGCGAAGTGCCGCGGGGTGTGTTGGGCACTTCTCTCCCAGCCATCGCCCTGAGCACAGTAGCCTTCTATGAATATTGATTGATTATTTTTACAGTCTAGACTTATGATTGAGTGAAGATGTGATTATAATATAATTAGATATAGGATTTAAAGATTATAAATAGTACTTGATAGTACCACTGTTTCTTATTAGGGATTCGATTTATAATCCCTGCCGGAAGTGATTAATGTTTCAATAGTTCTTTAATTAAGAAATCCTTCTAGAAGCTTCTGGATCCTTGAGAGATCATGCACAAAGTCACGTAGGCATCTATAGGGCTCTATGGCGTACGTGATCCAAGTGGCATTGTCATCTAGGATCAAGCTGTATAATGAATCTATAATGATTCTAATATGATTTTGTTATGATTCTGTTATGATTTTGATACGATTTAGATATGATTTTGATATGATATAGATATAATATAGAAATTATACATTCCTTAGATGATTATTAGATATAGTGGGTAAAATTTCCCACAACAAGCTGACTAACTCCTGAGTACCTAACTTACTGCAAGGTGAACAGAGGCATTCGGTGAAGAAATGTGCCTAACCATTTCTGTTCCACCCAAAAATCGAGCCTGGAATTCTCAATTGTGGGTTGAGAACGAGCCCGCCTGTACTATCGAGACCCTTTCAAATAGTAAATGGTAACGTACGTACGTAACACAGGGGCAGGAAAGACTGACGGGGAAAACATCCACACATTATTGCAATCACAGAAACAAAACTGACATCCACATATTATTGCAATCACAGAAACAAAACTGACAAGTTATAGGAAATGTAATCTTTCCACTTTGATATTATATTATAAGGAGAAATAGGGTGAACAGAGTAGGGGAAGGAGGCATTGACCCGTCGCTACACCTACACTGAAGTTTTGAAGAAGTAAAATTAGCAGATAAATCCGACCAGCAAGAGTACGTACATGGAATACCAACAGTGAGAAACATGCAGGTGGTTGTGGGGGTGACTTCAGCACACCCTCCTGTTTAGTTAGTACATATAGTAACGATGAGGAGCAGAGTACATATATGACGTAATGGACAATTAGAAAGTAGAAATTGTTACTGTTGAATTTGGACAAACCGGAAAAGGTTTTGTATTTATGTTGCAAAGGCAACCTAACCCTCCTAGGCCTAACACACACTGAGGCCTAAATAATACATATATGTATTATTTTAGGCCTAGAAATACTAGGTATACTAGTATTTCTTTACTAGTATAAAATACTAGAAATATTTAGGTATACTAGGCCTAGAAATAAGTTTGTTTTGTAAGATTATGATTCAAATATTTTTTTACTACAAAGTGAATAGTACTAAATTCTAATATCTAATTGCCATTACGCCAGTGTTTGTACTACGGTGCAGTACATAGTTACAACCAGTACTAGCTAAACAAGAGGGTTGGCTCAGTTGTAATTCCCGCCAAACAATAAGGAAGAAGACGACAAATTAATGAAATATTAAAAATTATAATGGTTACCCATTTGCCTATGTGGGGGGGGAGGTTGTAGGGGGGCTGTAGGGGGCGATGGGGGGGGGCTGTGGGGGTGTAACCAGGGGAGGGGCAGGAAGTAAAGTAAGTCAAGTAAAGCAAAATAAAGGAAGAAGGAGGGGAGGAGGAAAAGAGAAGAGAGGGGACAGACATGGGAGAGGTTGAGGCAGGAACTGAGGTAGAGAGAGGCGAGCGGGAATAGAAAACGGGGAGCGAACAGGAAGAGGGGAGGCAGGAGGGAGAGAAGGAAGGAGAAGGTGGAGGAGGTAGAGGGAATTAAAGGAGTGGGGAGAGTTAACTGTTTTATCGATGTAAGTTATACTAATGAATGATGTTATACTGATGTTAATTTTACTTGCTAATATATTCAAGCTGCCACCACCGGTCATTTGCCAACCCGTTCTCGCAAATTTAATAAGTCAATATTGACTTATTAAATATGTGCATAGGTGACATACTTAACATAATAGTTTCCCTTGAAAAGCTTCATAGAAAACACCGACCTTACCTAACCTACTTAGTATGTTAAGATAAGCATCTTATTTCTTCGTAATTACAATTATTACCTAGCCTATACCTATAATAGGTTAAGTAACAATTGTAATTACGAAGCTATAAGATACTTATTTTAACATACTAAGTAGGTTAGGTAAAGTCGGTGTTTTCTATGAAGCTTTTCAAGGGAAACTATTATGTTTAGTATGTCACCTATGCCCGCAACTAATAAGTCAATATTGACTTATTAAATTTGCGAGAACGGGTTGCATTTGCAAACTAAATCTTAATTCCACTTAAACAATGCGACAGGAACACTGCTTAATAGCTCACTTGTTCATCTAGTTATCTCTAGGCTTAACTCTTACTGGAGCGGACATTGATTCACAAAGAGGACTGAACAAAAGTCAAATTTGTCATTCTACACATAGACATTTATTGAATCAAATTACTTCAATGTCCAGTAATTGAATACTAGTTCTTACTATTTAACATTTTGCCATCCTATTATTTAACACAATATTGACCTAATTAAAAGGGGGGATCACCCACACCATACATGGCTAAATGGACTCCACTAGCTGGTCACCACTAAGACACCTTAAGACACCCTGGTCAATCAAACAACAGTGGCTCTTACCTCTCATGCAGATAGCTGCACCCTAGGGGTAACTGGCACCCACCTAGGGTGAAGATTGCAGGAGAGACTGGCTGGTGACCTTCCCTCTGTGGCAGCTGGTCACTAACTGAATCTACCAGCCACTCCCAACATGGGCAAGCTGTGTACTCTTCCTCATGCCCTGATAAGGACTGGGACAGGCCAAGCTAGCCCTTACCAACCTATGTACTACAATGTCAGCCGATTCAAGCTAGTCAACACCTCACTCGTACCATCTCGCTCCTCACACACACGCACACACCTACCCACAATTACAACTCACAATAGTAACATGAAAAGTGCAAAATACCTGCACTGTTACAGGGGGCTGTGTGGGGTGTTGGTGGGTCGGTCTTCAGTAGAAGGGGAGGCAGGGGGGGGGGGGCCGTAGGTAGTGGATATGGCGCCTATGCCCGTGCTTTTTGCTTTTTCCAACGCACGGGCATAGGCGCCGGGGTGTTTTCAATTTTCCGACGGCTGTCTCTACCCCCAGGGTATGTTTTTAAATTTTTATTTGTTAGTGCCTCGTAGTCTCCTAATATTTTGATTCATTTATCATCCGCTCTCGTTCATCATATGTAAAAAACGTCCTGCCTCGCCACGTGCTGCCTCGCTATGTGCTGCCTCGCCACATGCTGCCTCGCCACGTGCTGCCTCGCCACGTGCTGCCTCGCCACGTGCTGCCTCGCCACGTGCTGCCTCGCTATGTGCTGCCTCGCCATGTCCTGCCTCGCCACGTGCTGCCTCGCCACGTGCTGCCTCGCCACGCCCTGCCTCGCCACATGCTGTCTCGCCACGTGCTGCCTCGCCACGTGCTGCCTCGCCATGTCCTGCCTCGCCACGTGCTGCCTCGCCACGTGCTGCCTCGCCACGTGCTGCCTCGCCACGTGCTGCCTCGCCACGTGCTCCCTCGCCACATGCTGTCTCGCCACGTGCTGCCTCACCACGTCCTGCCTCGCCACGTGCTGCCTCACCACGTGCTGCCTCGCCACGTGCTGCCTCACCACGTGCTGCCTCGCCACGTGCTGCCTCGCCACATGCTGTCTCGCCACGTGCTGCCTCGCCACGTACTGCCTCACCACCTGCTGCCTCGTCACGTGCTGCCTCGCCACGTGCTGCCTCGCCACATGCTGCCTCGCCACATGCTGCCTCGCCACGTGCTGCCTCGCCACGTTCTGCCTCGCCATGTCCTGCCTCGCCACGTGCTGCCTCGCCACGTGCTGCTTCGTCACGTGCTGCCTCGCCACGTGCTGCCTCACCACGTGCTGCCTCGCCACGTGCTGCCTCGCCACGTGCTGCCTCACCACATGCTGCCTCGCCACGTGCTGCGTCGCCACGTGCTGCCTCACCACATGCTGCCTCGCCACGTGCTGCCTCGTCACGTGCTGCCTCGCCACGTGCTGCCTCACCACGTGCTGCCTCGCCACGTGCTGCCTCGCCACATGCTGTCTCGCCACGTGCTGCCTCGCCACGTGCTGCCTCACCACGTGCTGTCTCGTCACGTGCTGCCTCGCCACGTGCTGCCTCACCACGTGCTGCCTCGCCACGTGCTGCCTCACCACATGCTGCCTCGCCACGTGCTGCCTCGCCACGTGCTGCCTCGCCACGTGCTGCCTCGCCACGTGCTGCCTCACCACGTGCTGCCTCGCCACGTGCTGCCTCGCCACGTGCTGCCTCGCCACGTGCTGCCTCGCCACATGCTGCCTCGCCACGTGCTGCCTCGCCACGTGCTGCCTCGCCACGTGCTGCCTCGCCACGTGCTGCCTCGACACATGCTGCCTCGCCACATGCTGCCTCGCCACGTCCTGCCTCGCCACATGCTGCCTCGCCACGTGCTGCCTCGCCACATGCTGCCTCGCCACGTCCTGCCTCGCCACATGCTGCCTCGCCACGTGCCTCGCCACATGCTGCCTCGCCACGTGCTGCCTCGCCACATGCTGCCTCGCCACGTCCTGCCTCGCCACATGCTGCCTCGCCACGTCCTGCCTCGCCACGTCCTGCCTCGCCACATGCCTCGCCACGTGCCTCGCCACATGCTGCCTCGCCACATGCTGCCTCGCCACGTGCTGCCTCGCCACGTGCTGCCTCGCCACGTGCTGCCTCGCCACGTGCTGCCTCGCCACATGCTGCCTCGCCACATGCTGCCTCGCCACGTGCTGCCTCGCCACGTGCTGCCTCACCACATGCTGCCTCGCCACATGCTGCCTCGCCACGTGCTGCCTCGCCACGTCCTGCCTCGCCACATGCTGCCTCGCCACGTGCTGCCTCGCCACGTCCTGCCTCGCCACGTCCTGCCTCGCCACGTGCTGCCTCGCCACGTGCTGCCTCGCCACGTCCTGCCTCGCCACGTCCTGCCTCGCCACATGCTGCCTCGCCACATGCTGCCTCGCCACGTGCTGCCTCGCCACGTGCTGCCTCGCCACGTGCTGCCTCGCCACATGCTGCCTCGCCACATGCTGCCTCGCCACGTGCTGCCTCGCCACATGCTGCCTCGCCACGTGCTGCCTCGCCACGTGCTGCCTCGCCATGTGCTGCCTCGCCACGTGTTGCCACCACATCCAGGGGCCACCACATCCAGGGACCACCACATCCAGGGACAACCACATCCAGGGACCACCACATCCAGGGGCCACCACATCCAGGGACCACCACATCCAGGGACCACCACATCCAGGGGCCACCACATCCAGGGGGCCACCACATCCAGGGGCCACCACATCCAGGGGGCCACCACATCCAGGGGGCCACCACATCCAGGGGCCACCACATCCAGTGGCCACCACATCCAGTGGCCACCACATCCAGGGGTCCACCACATCCAGGGGCCACCACATCCAGGGGCCACCACATCCAGGGGCCACCACATCCAGGGGCCACCACATCCAGTGGCCACCACATCCAGTGGCCACCACATCCAGGGGTCCACCACATCCAGGGGTCCACCACATCCAGGGGCCACCACATCCAGGGGCCACCACATCCAGGGGCCACCACATCCAGGGGCCACCACATCCAGGGACCACCACATCCAGGGTCCACCACATCCAGGGGACCACCACATCCAGGGACCACCACATCCAGGGACCACCACATCCAGGGGCCACCACATCCAGGGGGCCACCACATCCAGGGGCCACCACATCCAGGGGGCCACCACATCCAGGGGGCCACCACATCCAGGGGCCACCACATCCAGGGGGGCACCACATCAAGGGGCCACCACATCCAGGGGGCCACCACATCCAGGGGGCCACCACATCAAGGGGCCACCACATCCAGGGGACCACCACATCCAGGGACCACCACATCCAGGTGGCCATCACATCCAGGAGCCACCACATCCAGGGGCTACCACATCCAGGGGGCCACCACATCCAGGGGACCACAACATCCAAGGCGCACCACATCCAGGGGGCCACCACATCCAGGGGGCCACCACACCCAGGGGGCCACCACATCCAGGGGGCCAGCACACCCAGGGGGCCAGCACATCCATGGGGCCACCACATCCATGGGCCACCACATCCAGGGGCCACCAAATCCAGGGACCACCACATCCAGGGGCCACCACATCCAGGGGGCCACCACACCCAGGGGCCACCACATCTAGGGACCACCACATCCAGGGGGCCACCACATCCAGGGGGCCAGCACATCCAGGGGCCCGGGATGGATAACAAGACGTGGTAATCCATATGGATACTGGCCCGAGCCTGCAGAGTTGACAGCCCTCCACGTCTAATCTTTCGCGGCGTGATATTTTGGCGGTGGCCCGTGCGTGTGGGCCCATATTATGGTCCTAATGACAATATTGGACGAGTTACTTTACATATTTGGTAATATAAAGCTGTTTTCTATGATTGAAATGGATTAAATGTAAAGTTTTTCGAGTGTGAGGTGATTTAGCGTAAATTATATCGGGTAGAGTGTGAGTGTGTGAGGGGCGGGTGTGTTGCGCGGTGCGGCGCTCACAAGTCTGGTGAGAGCCATTGTGAGAGTTGTGAGGCGCTCCCTCCCTCCCTCACCCGGGATTACTGCCTCGTCTTCCTCCTGCCTCACACTGCTGCCTCATGTCCTGCCTCACTACACCTCACAGCCCGCCATGAGGCTCCACTTGTTCAACACCCGTGAGTATATTGTGGTGGAGGTGTCCGCTCTCTCTCACTCTCTGCCTCTCTCACTCTCTCACTCTCACTCTGCCCGGATGTTGTTATTGTTGACGCAGTCTGTGATGTATGGGGTCGGGTGTGTGGTGTATGGGGTCGGGTGTGTGGTGTATGGGGTCGGGTGTGGTGTATGGGGTCGGGTGTGGTGTATGGGGTCGGGTGTGGTGTATGGGGTCGGGTGTGTGGTGTATGGGGTCGGGTGTGTGGTGTATGGGGTCGGGTGTGGTGTATGGGGTCGGGTGTGGGTGTATGGGGTCGGGTGTGTGGTGTATGGGGTCGGGTGTGTGGTGTATGGGGTCGGGTGTGTGGTGTATGGGGTCGGGTGTGGTGTATGGGGTCGGGGGTGTGGTGTATGGGGTCGGGTGTGTGGTGTATGGGGTCGGGTGTGTGGTGTATGGGGTCGGGTGTGTGGTGTATGGGGTCGGGTGTGTGGTGGGGTCGGGTGTGGGGTATATGGGGTCGGGTGTGTGGTCGGGTGTGTGGTGTATGGGGTCGGGTGTGTGGTGTATGGGGTCGGGTGTGTGGTGTATGGGGTCGGGTGTGTGGGTGTTTGGGGTCGGGTGTGTGGTGTTTGGGGTCGGGTGTGTGGTGTATGGGGTCGGGTGTGTGGTGTATGGGGTCGGGTGTGTGGTGTATGGGGTCGGGTGTGTGGTGTATGGGGGGGTCGGGTGGGTGTATGGGGTCGGTGTATGGGGGTCGGGTGTGTGGTGTATGGGGTCGGGTGTGGTGTATGGGGTGTATGGGGTCGGGTGTGTGGTGTATGGGGTCGGGTGTGTGGTGTATGGGGTCGGGTGTATGGGGTCGGGTGTGTGGTGTATGGGGTCGGGTGTGTGGTGTATGGGGTCGGGTGTGTGGTGTATGGGGTCGGGTGTGTGGTGTATGGGGTCGGGTGTGTGGTGTATGGGGTCGGGTGTATGGGGTCGGGTGTGTGGTGTATGGGGTCGGGTGTGTGGTGTATGGGGTCGGGTGTGTGGTGTATGGGGTCGGGTGTGTGGTGTATGGGGTCGGGTGTGTGGTGTATGGGGTCGGGTGTGGTGTATGGGGTCGGGTGTGTGGTGTATGGGGTCGGTGTGGTGTATGGGGTGGGTGTATGGGGTCGGGTGTGTGGTGTATGGGGTCGGGTGGGGTCAGGTCGGGTGTGTGGTGTATGGGGTCGGGTGTGGTGGGGTGTATGGGGTCGGGTGTGTGGTGTATGGGGTCGGGTGTGTGTGTATGGGGTCGGGTGTGTGGTGTTTGGGGTCGGGTGTGTGGTGTATGGGGTCGGGTGTGTGGTGTATGGGGTCGGGTGTGTGGTGTATGGGGTCGGGTGTGTGGTGTATGGGGTCGGGTGTGTGGTGTATGGGGTCGGGTGTGGTGTATGGGGTCGGTGTGTGGTGTATGGGGTCAGGTGTGTGGTGTATGGGTCGGGTGTGTGGTGTATGGGGTCGGTGTGTGGTGTATGGGGTCGGGTGTGGGTGTATGGGGTCGGGTGTGTGGTGTATGGGGTCGGGTGTGTGGTGTATGGGGTCGGGTGTGTGTGGTGTATGGGGTCGGGTGTGTGGTGTATGGGGTCGGGTGTGGTGTATGGGGTGTATGGGGGGGTCGGGTGTGTGGTGTATGGGGTCGGGTGTGTGGTGTATGGGGTCGGGTGTGTGTGTATGGGGTCGGGTGTGTGGTGTATGGGGTCAGGTGTGTGGTGTATGGGGTCGGTGTGTGGTGTATGGGGTATGGGGTGGGGTGTGTGTGGTGTATGGGGTCGGGTGTGTGGTGTATGGGGTCGGGTGTGTGGTGTATGGGGTCAGGTGTGTGGTGTATGGGGTCGGGTGTGGTGTATGGGGTCGGGTGTGTGGTGTATGGGGTCGGGTGTGTGGTGTATGGGTTCGGGTGTGTGGTGTATGGGGTCGGGTGTGTGGTGTATGGGGTCGGGTGTGTGGTGTATGGGGTCGGGTGTGTGGTGTATGGGGTCGGGTGTGTGGTGTATGGGGTCGGGTGTGTGGTGTATGGGGTCGGGTGTGTGGTGTATGGGGTCGGGTGTGTGGTGTATGGGGTCGGGTGTGTGGTGTATGGGGTCGGGTGTGTGGTGTATGGGGTCGGGTGTGTGGTGTATGGGGTCGGGTGTGTGGTGTATGGGGTCGGGTGTGTGGTGTATGGGGTCGGGTGTGTGGTGTATGGGGTCGGGTGTGGTGGTGTGTGTGGTGTATGGGGTCGGGTGTGTGGTGTATGGGGTCGGGTGTGTGGTGTATGGGGTCGGGTGTGTGGTGTATGGGGTCGGGTGTGTGGGGTCGGGTGTGTGGTGTATGGGGTCGGGTGTGTGGTGTATGGGGTCGGGTGTGTGGTGTATGGGGTCGGGTGTGTGGTGTATGGGGTCGGGTGTGGGTGTGTGGTGTATGGGGTCGGGGTGTGGTGTATGGGGTCGGGTGTGGTGTATAGGTCAGTGTGTGTGATGTATGGGGTCAGGTGTGTGGTGTATGGGGTCGGGTGTGGGGTGGGGTCAGTGTGGGGTATGGGGTCGGGTGTGTGGTGTATGGGGTCAGGTGTGTGGTGTATGGGGTCAGGTGTGTGGTGTATGGGGTCGGGTGTGTGTATGGGGTCGTGTGTGGTGTCGGGTGTGTGGTGTATGGGGTCGGGTGTGTGGTGTATGGGGTCGGGTGTGGTGTATGGGGTCGGGTGTGGTGTATGGGGTCAGGTGTATGGTGTATGGGGTCAGGTGTGTGGTGTATGGGGTCGGGTGTGTGGTGTATGGGGTCGGGTGTGTGGTGTATGGGGTCGGGTGTGTGGTGTATGGGGTCGGGTGTGGTGTATGGGGTCAGGTGTGTGGTGTATGGGGTCAGGTGTGTGGTGTATGGGGTCGGGTGTATGGTGTATGGGGTCAGGTGTGTGGTGTATGGGGTCAGGTGTGTGGTGTATGGGGTCAGGTGTGTGGTGTATGGGGTCGGGTGTGTGGTGTATGGGGTCGGGTGTGTGGTGTATGGGGTCGGGTGTGTGGTGTATGGGGTCGGGTGTGGTGTATGAGGTCGGGTGTGGTGTATGGGGTCGGGTGTGTGGTGTATGGGGTCGGGTGTGTGGTGTATGGGGTCGGGTGTGGTATATGGGGTCGGGTGTGTGGTGTATGGGGTCGGGTGTGGTGTATGAGGTCGGGTGTGGTGTATGGGGTCGGGTGTGTGGTGTATGGGGTCGTGTGTGTGGTGTATGGGGTCGGGTGTGGTGTATGGGGTCGGGTGTGTGGTGTATGGGGTCGGGTGTGTGGTGTATGGGGTCAGGTGTGTGGTGTATGGGGTCGGGTGTGTGGTGTATGGGGTCGGGTGTGTGGTGTATGGGGTCAGGTGTGTGGTGTATGGGGTCAGGTGTGTGGTGTATGGGGTCGGGTGTGTGGTGTATGGGGTCGGGTGTGGTGTATGGGGTCGGTTGTGTGGTGTATGGGGTCGGTTG